CATATTATCTTTTCAAATTGATCTAGGGGTACATCCAATCAAAGGCAGGTGGATTGTGGAGGCTAAGATTGTCTCTGCATCCCTTTCACTCTCCATAACAAGTTGATGGCTGATTTTGCCTGTCTTAATTTTACCCCCTCCTCCCATGGAGGAGTGGCTGATGTACCGTGCCCCAGCTCCTGGAATCCACTTCCAATTCTTCAGTTTTTTCAGTTGGCCATAAAACTGTGCCCGTAATTTTTTGGTAACCTTTTTCTGAACCCTTCACTAAACTCCTGAACTGGAAATAGTAAAATAACGCCAGTGTTGCATTATTTATTTAAATTTGTATAAAAGCTACCTGTTAGCATAGTGATAGTTAGTTGTGTGTCTTAACTTTATTATCTACCCAACCCATAAATGTATCAGTACCGCTTCTTTGCTATTTTATAAAATGACCAAATATTCTGTTTTTGTAAATGTGTGGAAGCAGAACATACAGAAGCAAGCAGTGATCATGATAGGAAGTAATAATTTTCCCAATTTATATCAATCTCCGTTTATTCCATAATAAAGGAATGATGCAAATCTCTTTCTCTCAGCAATTGTTTTTATGTTTCATCCATAACAAAGCTATTAAGGAGATTTTAACTAAAGTCCAGGCCACTTAAATAGCTTTTTAAAAAAAATATATCATTCAGATAGCTGGTAAAACACTTGGAAAATAATAACTCTGTATATCTGGCAATGACAAAAAGCCTTCCTTCTGTTAATATGCATTGTCTTAAAACTTATTCTGGCCTTTTAAATTTCCAAAATACATGTATTGATCATTCATTCTTTTCCCCATTTGGTTGCCATGGAGATATGTTGTAGTATAACATTAATCTCAAATAACACATTCATTTTTACTGCACCTATTCTACCTGAAAAGGACCTCAACCTCCTCCTTGATCTTAGTTTTCATATAAATGCAATTTCTCATTCACATTTAGAAAATATGATCTATAAATATTTCATGTTGGTTTCAAAACATATTTTAAATGTCAAGCAAATCTTTATGCTCTAATGGTGAAATTACATTGTGACCTCAAAATTTTATTTTCAGATAAAGCTAAGCCCAAAGCAAAGAAGAAAGAAGAACCAAGCTCCATTTTCCAGAGGCAGCGTGTGGATGCATTACTTCTAGATCTGAGACAAAAATTTCCTCCTAAGTTTGTGCAGGTATTAATCAGGCTACATCCCCCTTGTTTCTAGTATCAGTATAATTAAAAAAAAAATCAGGAGGTGGGTATGAGTTTCAGGTCTGACCAGTAGAATTTTCTGTTATGGTTGGATATAGAAAGCTTGGCTTTTAATCCAGTTTCTTTTTTTTAAAGCGATGATGATGGAAGACAAAGTATTTTGACTTTCATTACAAAAATATATATACTTGGAACACTATAGTTTGCCCTTGCAACTGAGCTGCTCAAGAGATAGTATTGAAGGACTGTGTTTTTTTACATTCTTTTAAAAATAATGCTGTTGATGTGCTGTCATTTTAAGGCAAGACAGATGACATGGTTGGCTCACATTACTTTATCCCTTCCTTTTAGGAAGGTTATGGGGTATTAGTCTGGACTGAGTAATAAGCCTTGCCTGTGCTGTTCAGCTGTTTTGCTGATATTGTACATCCAGGGGAGGGGGAATGGGAACATAAATGAGGAGCACTGTCCACGTTTCTAGTTTAGGGATGCAAGCTGTAAAATACAGCTGGCCTGTCTTGCATACCATGATGTGCAGAGTGAGGGACAGCAATAGAGTGCTTGTTTTTGTGTGACCACCATACTATTCCTGTGGAGAGTACACTCATAAGAGGGTAGAAAATGCATGTGTGAAAGATGAATCCCAGCTTTGATATCCATGTTCATGTATCTTGTTCACTATACAGGACCATTCCTGTTGAATGTAATGGTGAGCTTACAAACAAGAATGCCAAAACCTAACCATGTATTTCTAATTTTTTATTTAATTTCCTCCCTCTTGTTTACAGCAAAAATCTGGCGAAAAGCCCATTCCAGGTGAGAATTCAGTTAACATTTTTTTAAATGGATTTTCAAAATCCAGAGGCTGTGTAGGGTTTGTTTATGGTGACGTTCTTGCGAAGGTTGCCACTACCAAAATCTATGATGCAGTTGCCAATGCAGACTACCTGCAAGGTGCCAGTCCTGCCAATTCCCTTTTGCAAGTGGTGCTGACTGCTTGAAGAATGGCCTTTTACTGCTTCTGGAGGCAACCCCAACAAGCAGAAATGCTCGTTGCTGGAGCTGGGCAAGTTGAGTTGCACTTGTAGAAGGGGAGAGGCTAGCCTCTTGTGGAATATAAGCAGTGCTGGGCTCCATTGGTGGATGGGCAGTAATGGATACTGTCTGTGCACACAAGAAGTCTTCAAATGTACAGGATCCCTGTACTGGAATCACAAAGAATTCGTGGTCCCTCCTTCTCTTTAACCATTCTAGGTAAAAGAAGCTATGATTTTCATGTAGAAAACGTTTGAATGCAGCAGTTCAAGTTATGTTTGTGACTTGGCAGTTTTGCACTGCTGTTTTGACCTTAGAGTCATGGCAGAATGCCTGCAAATACGGAAAAACCTTGAGGGCTGATTAACTGTGGATCAGGAGCATCTCTGCATTACCTAATTGGTAAAACTGCTCTGTCCCAGCAAAGATGGAATGGGAACGAAGCTGGTCCCTGCTGAATTTCCTGCTGAAATTTGAGGAAGTGTGTTCACTTAGTTGTTGTTAGCAACCTGGAAAAATTTTGCAGGACTGAGAACTGGGCATCCAAAGTGATTAGAATAAGATTTTCATGTATTTTCTTTTCCAGTGGATCAGATCAAGAAGGAACAAGAGCCAGCCCCTGAAGTGATAAAACAAGAAGAGAAGGAGACTGCCAAGATCACACAACAAAGCACTAGTACTAAAGGGCCGCCAGAGAAACGGATGAGGCTGCAGTGACAGAAAGGGAGATGACAGTCAAACTGGCAAGAACTTGACAAAAAAAGAATGTAAAATTGTCTGCTGTCCAAAAACTGCATGGTCAACTATGACATTTCAAGGCTTAAACATGTGGAATCATTCAAATTAATACTTTACGAACCTGTTAATTGCAAACATTCAGCCATGTATAGGAAGAAATTGCTTCTTGTTTGAAACTTCCAATTGAATTTCACAATGTATTATTTGTGAAACTTCTTTCTTATACTTTTTCCCATGCTTTTTATCTCTGTGATGTTTTTGGATGAAACTGTCTCCTCCCCTTTCACAAAGTATAGATGCTGGAAAATTATGCTTTTGGAGGGATCACCTTTAAGGAAATACAAACCTGAAACAATATAATTCATTGATCTTCATTGCCATCACTTTTTTGGTTCCCACCACTATGTGTGCAAATATGTGCAAAGAATAGCAAACGTCACACGGTGGAATTACTTGAAGAAAGCAGTAGACAGAAGACTTTGGCTGTAAATGAAAATGTTTTCCTAACAACTTTATAACTTCCATATAATTGGAAGTGAAATATAGGCTGAAATTTCAGACTGTCCTTTACCTCTCCTAACACACACTATTATTGTAGTCTTTCTAATAATAGGGTTTATGAGGCCATAATGCTGGATTTAAAGAAATTCTTTATGTTCATTCAGGTATCAAAACAATGGAGTTATAGCTACATCAGCTCAGATAATCTCTTTCTGAACATGTATTTTCATTTTTTCTAACTTTGTTCCCAAATTAGAATTTAATTTGGGGTCGAGGATAGTACACTAATCTTCTTGTCCACTTAATGGACATTTATATAATCTTTGGTAATTCTGGCCATTTCTTTTGGTTACTCTTGAAAAGTACATAGATGAACATGAAAGAAGGAACCTGTGTTCTTGTCTAATAACATCTAGCTATATAACAATGATGGTTGGTAACTTATTGGGTCAGTTAAGTGGGGATGCAGCAGAGTTCCATAGGCTTGGTAATTCTCCATTATGTTGTTGGGGCTTATGCTCTGAAGTTTTCAGTTGCATTAGCCAAGGATATTTTACTCAGCTGGTGTTGAATAACCAGGATTGCGGGGGGAGGGGGGTGCTAGAAACCATCTGCCATAATATAATTTGATTGTACTCTATTTTTTGTACTGTCCAGAATTCTTTTCCCCATCTGAGTTTTTTTTTAGTATAATTGAGGAAGTTGTTTTTAGTGTATCTGAACCTTAGTGTCAGTTGCCAGCATAGAAGAAATCTGTTTTATGAAATACTTGATATCTATGATTTGTAAATAAATATTGTAAATGTTGCCTTGTTTGAATAAGGGAGGGATGAGAATAAACGTTTCTTGAGGATAAGGGATCAACATTTTCTAAGTTATCTTTTATTTGGATGATCATGTTAATGGTTCTCATTTTTACTGTTTTGCTTTATGATGTAAATAGATGGGTTTCAGCTTGTGTTCCCCCCCACCCCAAGTCTCCATTATTTTATATGACAAAACATTTTAAGAATTTTGTATGTATGGCAAACCTGCAAATGAAATTTGTTACTGAGTGCAGAAGATCTATATTGGTTTTGTATAAATGATACTGATCTTCACTGTCAGAGCTGGCTCTACAGCGTTTTTTGCTACATTGCAATGTAAGTTAATTTTTCCAAATTACTTCAAAATAGATTTGAAGAAAATTGCCATTTACTTCTAATGCTTTAGAATGTTCCATTTTTCAGAACTGAGTTAGAAAAACATCCACTCATTTTGGCTTTCATATTGTAAACTATTGAGACTACAATATGATACCCTTTCCTAAAGCAGAACAATGAGGTTATGGGGTATTAAAGAGATTAATATGTTGCACTTTCAGAAGCTTTTGTGGTTATGTATGCTATGCTACCACTTTTCTTAGGTGGGTCAGATTCTATACATTGCTGTTACTGGATAAAAAAAGCTTTCTTCATTAACCAGTTTCTCTGTCAAACATATCTATTTCTTCCCCTGGGTTTCTATTTTCCTATTTTACTTGGACTATTACTTGAACTATTTTCTGTTTTACAGAAAATGGGGCCTTCTGTCTCAAGACTGGCAATGTTGTCCTAATATATGTGGGAGGGTCTTTGTTTAATCAAATAGAAACCACTTGGAATTAAAAGTTCAGCTGCAGTGTATTTGTCCAATACATGTGTTTATGTAATTTCTAAAGGGCAGCACAGCAGTGTGTTGACTTGCTTGTGCAGTGCTTCCTGCAAAGTTACCCATCTGCAGTAATTGAAAGCTGTGAAGCAGGCTTTGGGCAGTATCTACTAGACTCTTCTTGTTCCTCCTCTTTACCCAAAGAGTAAACTCATGTCTTAAAGCAGGAATAGCTTGGCACATAACCCAAAGTCTGATGTGTTGATCTGAAAAAGGATATCATTCAGTCAGGAATAGTACAGAGAAGGGCAAGAAAATGATCAAGGGGCTAGAACAACTCCCCTGTGAGAAATGGCTAGGACAACAGGGACTAGCTTAGGAGTGCTCCTCGACCCTGAGCTGTCTCTAGAAGCTCAGGTGACGGCGGTGGCGAGGAGCACCTTCCTTCAGCTTCAGCTGATACATCAGCTGCGTCCCATCCTGGAGAACGACTGCCTGGCGACAGTGACACACGTGCTGGTAACTTCCCGATTAGATTTCTGTAACGCGCTCTATGTGAGGCTGACCTTGAAGATGGTCTGGATACTTCAATTGGTGCAGAATAGAGCTGCCAGGGTGTTGACGGGGACTGGGCATTGTTCTCATATAACCCCAGTTCTCCGTCAGCTCCACTGGCTCCCAATTGAAGTCCGGGCCCAATTCAAGGTGTTGGTTATGACCTATAAAGCCCTAAATGGCTTGGGACCTGGATATCTAAAGGAACGCTTGCGCCCATATATGCCCTCCCGCCCCTTGAGATCAGCAACAGATGCCCTTCTCCGGGAACCCTCTGTGAG